CTTTCTTTCTTTCTTTCTTTCTTTCTTTCTTTCTTTCTTTCTTTCTTCTTTCTTTTTCTTTCTTTCTTTCTTCTACTTCTTTAAATGTATTTACTTAGAAGCAATCAGAATGTCAACAGCTACAACTTTTTTTTCCTTTCCTTTTGTTCTTTTTGCAATTACAGAGTGTTGTTTAGTTAAAAGAACATTATTTTCTGAAGCACACAACTCAAGATGAATAATACACATGAATATACACATGACTATATACATAATACACTGCTGTGCTCCAACAAGCACCGTGCCAAACCTCCATGCCAATGTACAATCCCCATTCTATACTAGGCAACATGAGTGGCCAGGAGATACCACAAGTCTACCATGAGTCGATGAGTCCCAACAATGGATGAAACTTCTCCTGCTGTCTAGTAGTTAAGTGTGCTAACCTGGGGCGTGGCACAAAGGCAACACAGTCAGATAATCAGTAGGAGTCCCTTTATTAGCTCCAACTTTGCCTCCAATGTCCTGGTTACCTTCTGGCTGGAGAAAAACTCTCCCAGGAACAGCCTTGGGCTGCAGAGAATCAAGTCCAAAACATGGTCAACAAAAACTGAAACTATAAGTCCAATCAAGCCAAAATAAGGTAATTAGTTTGGCAGGGCAGGAGCAAGAATCCCAGATGTAAAGGAACGGCAATAACTCAACACAGTTGGGAAGACGCCAGGAACACCGATAAGTCAACACAAGATAAACTCACGTTTGTTCCCAGCAGTTGTAGCACTCAGCATGCATTTCTTTTAAATATCACCAGGCTTGAAATGTTGGGCTTGGACAACCTTGAACTACATCGCCTGCAGTTGGACTTAAGCGTCGAACACAAAATTATCTGCTACAATGTCCTACCAGTCAATGACTACTTCAGCTTCAACTGCAACAATACAAGAGCACACAAGAGATTGATTGCAGAAAGTACGACTTCAGCAACAGAGTGCTCAATGCCTGGAATGCACTACCTGAAACTATCCACGATTGACCTCACCCCATTCCTAAGAGGTCTGTAAGAAGCATGCATAAGTGCACCATCGTGCCTACTGCCCCTGTCCTATTGTCCCCATTTATTCATACTTATTTCGTGTATTCTTACTCATGTTTATACTTACACCTTTTTTATACTTGCTTATACTTATACCTCTTGTAGGCGATTGACAAATCAAATAAAAAAATAAGTCTGACAAAGGGTCGTAAGTCCCCTTTTTCCAGCCCCATTGTAACTTCAAACAGTCACTAAGATGAACCGTTGTAAGTTGAGGACTGCCTGTATACAGAATCATTCTGCCCCCAGACATTCAAAGGGGAAGAAGCAAGAAAGGTCTCCATTTAAACCAAAAAATTCAAATCAGATCCTATTGTTTGGGATGCTCTCTCTCTCTCTCTTCTCTCTCTCTTCCTGCTTTGCAGCAAAGTTTGGAAGGCTTTCAAAGAGATCCAGACACCGCGATGCGCCCCTAGACCCGAAGCCAGCCAGCCATGATGTTCCCTGCAACGGAGGTCCAAGTTGGACTCTCGTAAGAAGCAGAGAGGAACAATACCGGCTCTTTTGAACCTGGCGATGGAGACAAACTCCGGGCCCGTGCTTCCTCGCAGCACAGATCGCTGGCCCGACTCTCACGGGAGAAGAAAGGGAAGGAGGCGCAAACAAAAGCCCGCCTTTCCATGACATTCAGCCGGTGTAATCACCTCCTCCTTCCCGGGCGGGCCTCGGGCAACGCTCAACTCCGCTGTTAAGCAACGGCTGGGCCGGACTGTAAGATGGGGCGAAGCCGAGCCGAGCTTAGCTGGAGCGGAAGGGTCAGCTTCACTCCGAAGGGCAGGGAGGGTGGGAGGGAGGGAAGGCGGCCGCCTCGTTGTTGTTATTGTGTTGTTGTTGTTGTTAAGTGTGGTTCTTCTTCTTCTTCTTCTTCTTCTTCTTCTTCTTCTTCTTCTTCTTCTTCTTCTTCTTCTTCTTCTTCTTCTTCTTCTTCTCTTCCTCCCTCCTTCCTCCTTTCTTCCCCTTCCCCCTTCCTTCTTTTTCCTGTTTCCTTCCTTCCTCCTCTTCCTTTGGGACCCGCTGGAGGCGGTAGTCGGTGGGCAGGGAGAGAAAGAGGCTCGCCGGGCGGCTAGAGATCGCAAGGAGACGCCGGTTCTGGATCTACTTCTTGCGCTTCTTTCGGCCAGATCCGAGCGGCGCGCGTCCTTGCGCGGAGGGGCGCTTCTGGAGCGCGCCGTCTCGTTGTAGAGAAGCCCGTTTCCTGGTTCTCGCACCTCGGCGGCTGAGCGACGGCCCGACCCGCACTTGGGGCGGTGGAGGGCGGGGCTGTTCGGGTTTCACCTGCGGCTGCAGCTGCATTCGGGCGATGTTCTCAATCTGTCGAGTGTTGAGATGGATTATTCTGATTCCGATTCTGATTTTGCCTCGGGGCGTTTCCGGCTCCACCGCTGGCGCGCGATTCAGACGTGCTACGCAAAGCAGGTGGATTAAGTAAGGGCGTGGGGTGTGTTGCGTCAATCCCGTTGAGGTCCCACGAATTGCCAAACTGTCGCGGAGGGTGGATTGAGGAAGTTCAGGCTCTGAAGTTTTGGTGTCTAAGGTGGAGAAGCTCCCGGGGATCTAGATACAAATGAACAGAGTTGGATAACCTTGTAGGTCATCTAGTCCAACCCCCCCCCCTCCGCCCGAGCAGGAGACCCTACACCACATCTGACAGATGGCAGCCCAGTCTCTTCTTGAGAGCTTCCATTGATGAAGCTCCCACAGCTTCCGAAGGCAACTTCTGTTCCATGATCGCTCTCCCCGTCAGAAAGCTTCTCCTTATTTCTAGGTTGAATCTCTCCTTATTCAGTTTCTGTCCATTATTCCTTGTTTGGCCTTCAGGTGCTTTGGAAAATAGCTTGACCCACTCCTCAGCCTTGGGAAGTCTCTTAGAGGATGAGGATGATGTTTTCATTGATCTCAAAGTTATCTACTGTTGCATCTCGGTTGGCACACATCCTTGAGATAAAGCTGGCTGTGACGGGGCATTCTTTATCTGACACGCTGAATGGTTGGACTCTCTCCATAGCATTAGTATGAATTTGGCATGAATTTGGTAGTAAGACTGGTATCTTAGCTTATTCCTTCTCCATGTTATTGTTGTTGCTTGTTATCATTATCACGATTATCATCGCACAGTCAGTCAGATGTTCAGACTGGGTTGGGCATTTTTGTCTACCTATTCAATCCTTACCAAGGACCTGGGATAAGCAGATCAGGATGTTTGATGGTGTTAACAGATATCATCGCAGGATAGAAGCTGTTCTAAGTAAAACTGCCTTCTGCAATTGACTGATGGTGAAATTATAAATTGTCAAAGTGGCGCTCCAATTATTTTGGGATTGCACCCAAGGCATCTATGACTATTGGTACTACCCTTGCTAGCCTTTGCCACGGCTGTTCTATTTCTATGTCTTTGTATTTTGTTACCTTTTCCGGTTCTTTCTCATCTATTCTGCTGTCTCCAGGCACTGCCACATCCACTATCCAGACTTTTTTTATCTTTCTTATCGACAATTGTTAAGTCTGGAGTGTTATGTGGAGGTGCCTGTCTGTTTGAATTCTAACATCCCAGAGCAATTTAACTTCTTCATGTTCTATGATTTTCTTTATTTTTATAGTCTCACCAGTTCCCGCTTACAGGCAAATGGTATTTCTTGCAGATCTTCCAATGGCCCATTGTTGCTACTTTGTCATGCCACTGCTTGTAGTCAGTCTTTTATTATTATTATTACTACTAATACGATTATTGTTGTTGTTGTCATTGTCATTGTTATCGTCATCATTATCTTTTATTCATTAAACATGAAATTCAGTCAACTGAACATTTAAAAATATATCACAAATAAGTATCACAAAATTTACTGGCGCTGATGGTTGATACAGGTTGCTGGCATCCTAGGTATCAACCAAGTATCTTCTTAAAATGTATGATGTTCCAAGTAGTGCAGTTTTATTATTATTAACATGCTCTGATGCTAAGGAGTTCTTCTCCCCCTCCCCACCTGAAAAGAAATCTGTTCCAAAAGCAAATCACAAGCAGAGGAGAGGCGTTTTTGTTTCAGTTCCACAGCACCAAGCAGCTTTTGTACAAAACAGTTGAGCTAAGCCACACCCAGGCTCCTTGCTGTCTTCTTCTTGCTCACACAGCAAATACTGCTTCAGTTTCCAGCCAGCTCTTAACTCTTTCACACACTGACAGGACGCTAGCCAGATGAATACCAATGGAGGCTGATAGGCAGAGGCAGAATTTCACCCCCTTATTTTCCTTCCTGCTAGTTAAGGATAAAAGATACTGTAAAGTGCATTCTTTTCAAGCTTCCTGGTGCAGGACCTAACTATTGAGAAACGGGAAATTAATAATGTGGATCGTATGTTTTATATTTTGTAAGACTCTCTATTTTCTTACCCTCTCTTTTTCCCTTCCTTTCTAAGGTTCCCCAGCCCTGCTGACTTTGATGGCCTAAAGGACTTCCCTTCTTGCATAGTCCAGCATGGATGCTCCGCCTGTGGTCATGACTGCAGGTTCTCTTTCCTACATCACTCAGACTGATTTTCCAGTCCCGCTGAAAAAGTTTTATCGGGGTGAACCACTGGCACTGGGGGTGAGTATGGAGATGATAGCTTCTCTCTTTCTGAGGATCCTATGGTCCCCGATTCTGTTGCAATAGGAGCACGAGGATTCTTTGTTTGGGTACATATGAAAATTCTTGAACCATTTGTCATTCTGACCAGCCAATGTAACATCTGAAAACTATATAACCCTCTTCCCCTTAAGGCAGGAGTCTTCAAACTTGAGAGCTTTAAGAACTTGTGGACTTCAACTCCCAGAATTCCTCCTCCAGTCATGTTAGCTCAGGAATTCTGGGAGTTGAGGTCCACAAGCCTTGAGGGAAGGTGATCTTGAGGCTAGTAGCACGAGGAAAAATAAAAATAAAAAATAAAATAAAAATAACACCAAAATCCCTTCTCTTTATACTTATCTTTCTTTTTTAAATAGTGCTTAGACCTATATGCCGTTTCATAGGGCTTTACAGCTTTCTCTAAGAGGTTTACAGCTTATTTCCCCCAACAATCTGGGTCCTCATTTTATCGACCTGGGAAGGATGGAAGGCTGAGTCCACCTTGAGCTGGTCAGAATCGAACTGCTGGAGTTAGCAGTGAATTAGCTTGCAGTACCTCATTGTAACCACTGCACCACCATGGCATATGCGTATAGAACAGAACAGAATAGAATAGAATGCAGAATAGAATAGAATAGAATAGAATAGAATAGAATAGAATGGAATGGAATGGAATGGAACGGCATGGCATAGCCATGGAATAGAATGCAGAATAGAATAGAATAGAATGTAGAATAGAATAGAATAGAATGTAGAATAGAATAGAATAGAACAGAATTCAGAATAGAATAGAATTCTTTATTGGCCAAGTGCTATTGGACCCACAAGGAATTTGTCTTTGGTGCATATGCTGTCTTAGTGTACATAAAGAAAAAATAAAATACATTCATCAAGAATCATAAGATACAACACTTAATGATAGTCATAGGTTACTAATAAGCAATCAAATTATACTAGGAAATAAATAAAACAATATAAATTGTAAAGCTACAAGCAACACGGTTATAGTCATAAGTGGGAAGAGAGAGGTACTAGGAAGGATGAGAAGTATAATAGTAATACAGTAAATAATTTGACAGTGTTGTGGGAATTAGTTGTTTAGCAGAGTGATGGCATTCGGGGAAAAACTGCCCTTGTGTCTAGTAGTTCTGGTCTGCAGTGCCCTATAGCATCGTTTTGAGGGTAGAAGTTGAAACGATTTATGTCCAGGATGTACACATACACATACAAGAAAGGCTTGAACACAAGAATGCTTGGTAAGTCCCAGCAAGGATGAAATCGATTGTGTAGTGCCTCCTACTGGCCAATAGCTAAAATGACATGAAAAATAAGTTCTCCAGAGGTTATTGAACAATATAGTAGTGATAAAAGCAGTTTCCAGTGCCGAGAGATGCTGGAAGTTGTAGTTCAGCAACATCTGGGGTTCTGTTGGTTCCCTAGTCCTGAATATCACTGGTCGTGGGAAGGTTGTAGCAGCTGCAGGTGAATTGCATGTATAATTAGATATTCTATTTTAAAATATTGTATTATTTTACTAACAAAGTTTTTTTGGGGGGGGGAGGGGAAAGGATGTAAAATTTATATAGGCTTTGGCATGCATCCTGTTTCCCTCCTGCTCTGTTGCTCTGGTTTGTGGTGAGTTGGAAGTAAAGGTGGTGTTTTTTTTTTCTTCCTCTTTGCAGATCACACAGATATTCATAGGAATCATACAAATTATCTTTGGGATGCTGATCAACATAATTAATCAACATGATATTATCTACCTTATTGTATGGATGCCCTATTGGAGTGGAATCTTGGTAATTTTACACCAGGGTTGTCAAAATCAATTTCATTGAGGGCGGCATCAGGGCTATGGTTGACCTTGGGGGGGCTGGGTGGGTGTGGCCAATTGGGTGGGCGTGGCCAGCTTGATGCCACTTACTGGGGTGGCCGACTTACTGGGTGGGGATGGTCGACTGGGTGGCCGTGGCCATCTGGACACCACTCCCCAAACTGCTGGAATGTCTCTTTTTGTTTTAGTTTTTTTTTAAATTTACTTTATTGTCATTGCACCTTGTACAACAAAATTAAATACCATCTTCAGTGTATATTATGACTATGAAAATAAACACAAACACACATCCTTTGCATTCTATACAATTGAATTGAAAACCCCTGATATTGCATTAATATTGCACTATACAATAGAATTCAATAGAGCTACTGCCCTGGGATAGAAGCTGTTTTTCAGCCTATTTGTCCTTGTTTTTATTATTCTGTACTGTCTGCCAGATGGTAATAGTTCAAAAAAAAAGAGTTCCCAGGATGAGATGGATCTTTGAGAATGTTTTGAGCTTTCTTAAGGCAGCGGGAGCTATAAAGCTCTTCCAAAGAGGGGAGAGGGCAACCCATGATCCTCTGGGCAATGATGTTAACCCGCTGGAGTACTTTCCTATCTGCCACTGTGCAATTGGCAAACCATACAGAGGTGCAGTAACACCTTAGTAAGACCACACCTAGAGTACTGCATCCAGTTTGGGTCACCAGACTATTAAAAAGGTGTTGAGACTCTAGAAAAAGTACAGAGAAGAGCAACCAGGATGATTAGGGGACTGGAAACTAAAACATATGAAGAACAGTTACAAGAACTGGGCATGGCTAGTCTAGTGAAGAGAAGGACCAGGGGAGACATGATAGCTGTCTTCCACTATTTGAGGGGCTGCCACAGAGAGGAAGGGGTCAAGCTATTTTCCAAGGCACCTGAAGGCCAGACAAGGAATAATGGATGGAAACTGAACAAGGAGAGATTCAACTTGGAAATAAGGAGAAACTTTCCGACAGTGAGAACAATCAAACAATGGAACAGAAGTTGCCTTCAGAAGTTGTGGGAGCTTCATCACTGGAAGCTTTCAAGAAGAGACTAGACTGCCATCTGTCAGAAATGGTGTAGGGTCTCCTGCTTGAGTGGGTGTGTGTGTGTTGGACTAGATAACCTACAAGGTCCCTTCCAACTCTGTTGAACTGTTAAATCTGTTAGTGCTGTGTTGCACAAAAAAAATCAGTGAACATAACCCCTGGCTGTGACACCTTAAAGCAGCTGCATCTTCATGACCAGAGAACAGTAGGCAGTGACAAGAGGCAGCCGTTTAAGGTGGAAAAGAGATTGTGGGTTTATACTGTAAATCCAGTTCTCTGGGGATAGAGCCATACTGGTTCACTTTCTTTTCTTTTCCTTCCAGTACATCATCTCCGGATCCTTAGCTGTGGCAGCTGCTTGGAATCCCCGGATGCCTCTGGTAACTAATCCATTGGAGCAAAAACGAAGACCGTGGGTTAATCAGAAACCGTCCACCTGGGAGATCCCAGCAATGAAAGATTGAGAAAGCCTCTCCTTTGTAGCCATGGAGACAGGGGTGGGATTCTACCAGTTTGGACCGGTTCGGGCGAACTGGATGTTAAATTTGTATCTGGTTCACTGAACCGATATTTCCACTGACCGACTGGCCCTGCCCGTCCAGCCCCTCCCTTCCCAGGAGTCTCCACGTGGCCCATTTTCGATGCAGGTAAGTGCAGGGTCCGTGCAGAGGATCTGGGAGGGGGGCAGAAATGGCCCTATTGGAAGTACCAGAAGTCGCAAAATGGGCCTGTTTCCAGCTTCCAGAGAGGCTCCAGAGCCCAGGGGAGGCCATTTTCGCCCTCCTAGAGGCCCGAGGGAAGCCTCCGGACCCTCGGGAAGGTGAAAAACGGCCCTCCCAGAAGTTCTGGTAGGCCACACCCACCATGGCCACGCCCACACAGCAACTGGGCAGCGAACCGGTGGCTGGGATTTTTGAATCCCACCCCTGCATGGAGAGATGCAATCCATTGGGTTACCAATCAGGAGCTTGGTGAATTTCTGATGTTCCTGGATCACTAACATCCAAGGGAGCATCACGATGGTTGTGATGTCTTGTTTAAAAAGAGCCTCTCCCCTGAATACCCTTTTTGGGAAACTTCAGGTCTTTCTGAAATCTCTTTTTTGCCCGATTTTAGCAAAGAGGTGCTGTGTCTCCATCTCTGGTGGAATATTCTGATGGAAACAAGTGCCTTAGAGGTTGTCTCTCTTCCCAATGGCTAATCCGCCATGCCAAAGGGTCTGCATTCAAGCTGTGCTACTTGAGAGGAGCAAGAAGGCTCAACATTGAGCCACTCTTGCGAGGGGTTAAAGGACACCAACCTCACCTTTTCTGGCTAAAGCAAACCCAAAGTTGACATGCTTCTGTTCCCATCATTGTCCGAGAAATCTCAGTTGCGCCATAGCCAGCCTGTGCGTGCGTGCGTGTGTGTGTCTTTGCGTGTATGTTTATTAATTTATTTTGTGTCCCCTAGGTGCAAAGCATGGTGGCCATGAATGTGTTAAGTACTGTAGCAGCTGGTTTGGGCCTAGCATCCCTGTTTGCCACCTTCGGTATGCCCTATCTATTCAATTTGTCTACGCACTGCTATAATTTTGAAAAAGAAATTCAGAAAAAATGTAATGCAAACCAGGTATGTCCTTTTATATAATAAGTATTGTGACCTTCCCAAATTCATCCGCAAGAAGTTTGTTTCAACAGGGCAGAGAAGGAAAAAGAAGTTAATAGTGTCCTCTAATGGGGCATGGATCTCTTTGGAAGGGATCTAAATATATCCCCAAACTCCCAAATAGAGTTTTAATCATGGAAAGGTTATTAACATGGGATTTCTAGAATTTGGGTATTTTTCTTTGGCCCAATCTTTCCAAAGCAGGGCTGCCCCCAGGGATAGCCACATTTTCAAGGTGGCAGCTGTAACTGTATAGTCAAAGTTTTGCTAGATATTTAGCTGTGGCACAGGGAAAAAAACCCTGGATGCTTCTGATAATTAATCCATTGGAGAGAAAAAATGAAGGCCATGGCCATAGCATTCCAAATGTTAGTTCATTGCCCCCAATATCTATGGGGCTGCCAGAAAGAAGAGGGAGGTCAACCTATTTTCCAGAGCACCAGAAGGCAGGACGAAAAGCAATAGATGGAGGGAAGCAACCTAGAACTTAAGAGAAATTTCCTAACAGTGAGAACAATTAATCAGTGGAATGATTTGCCTCCAGAAGTTGTAAATGCTCCAACACTGGAAGTTTTAAAGAAGAGATTGGATAACCAATTTGTCTGAAATGGGATAGGGTTTCCTGCCTGAGCAGGGGTTGGACTAGAAGATCTCCAAGTTCCCTTCCAACTCTTACTCTGTTTCTGTTTTGGACTCAAAAATACTTCATTCCCCTTATGACCTAGGCAATAGATCCACCCTATCACATCCGATCACCTTCTTTACTCTAGAACTGGAGATAAATATGCCTGGCTGTGTGTATAAAAATGGATATGTTACTTTTCTGCTTCATTGATAGGATATCGGCATGGGAATACTGATTATTCTTACTCTGTTCACCGCCCTGGAGTTTTGCATCACCATCTCAGTTGCGTCTTTTGGATGTAAGATGCTTTGCCGCGATACCTTCTCTGAAAAAGTAAGATTTCCAAAGGAAGATGGGTAGTCCACCAAGGGAAATGAATTGAGACACATGGATTTCTGATATTTATTCAATATGGAATAGTCTGATTGGAAGGCATTATTATGTTGGATAGGATCACACCTCTTTCTTGCTGCCTCTCTTCAGGCTAGTTTTCATATACAATGGTAACTCAGTATTCAGCATTAATTGATTTCAGGAGGTGCGATAGGTACTAAAAAGGATAAATCCTAAACCAACTTGTGACTTATAACCCTTTGTTTTGACTGGGAAAAACTTTCTGTCTGTCCCTTTTCATATGTCAGTAACCTTCCCAGTATGGCTGACTTCCTGTCCATCATCTATTGTTGTCCCCCTCCTTTTGCAGTGATCTTCCCAGCATGGCCGACTTCCTGTCCATCCTCTGTGATTGTCCCCTTCCTTTTGCAGTGATCTTCCCAGCATGGCTGACTTCCTGTCCGCCTTCTGTGGTTGTCCCCCTCCTTTTACAGCAACCTTCCCAGCATGGTCCACTTCCTGTCTGTTCTCTGCAGCTCTGCCTCTCTTATCACAGTGCATCAAGTATTAAACAAACATTGAGTACTGGGACGACATTTCCAGGTCAAAATGTGTCAAATACCAAATTCAACAAGTTTTGAAGCAGCCGAGTACTGAGATACGGCCACTAAGCACTCTGCTCCATTCAGTTGCCCAGACTCCACCTCACAAGGGATTATGGGGGTTGTTAAAAGAGATAATGATGACGATGATTAATTTTACAGATCTGGTGTTTTACATGTGAAACATAGACACCGAATTGTATTATAAATAAAATAAAATAAAATAAAATAAAAGCATTGGGTATACTATGGCTTCAGGCTAAGGGGTGCCATTGGCAACAAAGGTGAAAGATTGCTGCAAAAGTTTGCCAAGATGGGGTGAATTCACATGTTGTACTAGGTGGACACAAAAGAATAATTTGGCTTCACTCATACACTGTGTTGAAAATCTAGATTATAAATGGTAGTGGATAGATTCTCATATTGCGATAAACCTAAAGGAAACAAACCACCTTATGAATCTCAGCTCAGATTCCAGCTGGTTGGCAGAAGACAATATAAGGTTCTTACCACCCAAGGAGTGCCTAATCTGTACATGGTCCACCTAGCGCTTCAGACTGAATTCCCAAAAAGATACTTCTAAATGTGTGACAGCTTGAACCCAGTAACTCTGTTAATGTCTTTAAAGCAGTTGCATCTTTTTCTGGGATTTTGGAGGGAGCCCTAACCACGCAAAACAGAAAAGGATTCAGCTGCTTTAAAGAGAGACAGTGCTATCTTTATGCTCCAATAAAGATCACGATTCCTCTTGGGAATCAAAGTGCTATAGAGAGTCTTATATTGGAAACAGAGAGAATCAGTCAAAAGGCTGTTGGAAAGCTGAGGAATTCTGTTCTGAGCTGTGGAATGAGAATAATTGCACACACACACACACACACACACACACACATACACACAAATGGTCCTAAAGTTTTATTGCTTGTTTCTTTAGGTTGTGGTCATTTATCAGAATGTGTCTCCTGCCAGTGCTGAACAAGATCCTCCCCTCGACTGCAAACAGACAGCAATTCAACCCTGAACTGCTTTTCTTTCATTGCAACTCTTCTACATCTTGAAGCCTTTTTTAAAAAAAGGAATTGCACAGAAGTTTTTAATCAGTGGAACATAAAGGCTTTTTGATGGACTAAGCAAAAAGCACCACGTGCAAAAGATCATATGAATGTTCTTTGTTGCTGTTTAAAATATCTCTTTATTAGCCGATCGGCACTTTGCACCAAGTTATGGTTTATGGTTTGCTGTTGGAAATATATATATCGACTTATGACCACAATTGAGCCCAAAATTTGTCTTGCTAAGTGAGGCATTTGTCAAGTAAATTTTGCTCCATTTTACAACCTCTCTTGCCCTGGTTCTTAAATGAATCACTGCAGTGGTTAAATTAGTAACACAGTCGTTAAGTGAATCTGGCTTCTCTGTTGACTTTGCTTGTTAAGAAGGTCACAAAAGTTGACCCCAGGACATTGCAACCATCATAGATGTGAACTAGTTGCCAAGCATCCAAATTCTGATCATGAGATGCTGCAACGGTTATAAGTATGAAAAATTGTCATTTTTTTTCCAGGGCTGTTGTAACTTCGAATGGTCACTAAATGACTTGGCTGGGTTTACACAATGTGTTATGGATAACTATAATTTCTGCATTACAATGGTTGTGTCACAGATTAAGGCGAAGCGCAAAGCTCACCTCAAGGGAGTTTAGCCAAAAAAACATTTTTTTTTGGCGCCCAGCTGCATTCATACAACAAATTATGCTGGTTGTGTGAAACCAGCTAATCCTTGCAACACATTCCAGAAATTGATATGCAGGCGATAACAGGAATTGTTTTTTTAAAAAAAGGCTCAGCAGCCAATCCCAGGAAAACTAAACAACCACATTTGTAAAAAGGTAAAGATAGAGGTTCCCCTCGCGCATACGTGCTAGTCGTTTCCAGCTCTAGGTGGTGGTGCTCATCTCCGTTACAAAGCCGAAGAGCCAGCGCTGTCCGAAGACGTCTCTGTGGTCATGTGGCTGGCATGACTAAACACCAAAGGTGCATGGAATGCTGTTACCTTCCGCCCAAAGGGGTCCCTATTTTTCTACTTGCATTTTTTACATGCTTTTAAACTGCTAGGTTGGCAGAAGCTGGGACAAGTAATGGGAGCTGACTCTGTTACGTGACGCTAGGGATTCAAACTGCCGAACTGCTGACCTTTCTGATCGACAAGCTCAGCACCTTAGCCACTGAGCCACTGCGTCCCTTCCAATCAAATCTTCATCCATAATTTAAATTTATAGCCAGTTTGATCTAGGGGTTAAGGTGCCAAGCTAGAAACCAGGATAATGTGAGTTCTAGTCTCACCCTATGAAGGAAAACAGGAGGGAGAAGGAGTATTAGGTATATTTTCTGCCTTATTTATAAAAATAATGAAGACGGGATATAAATGCATACCTTGGAAGATAAATTTGCTCCCTGCCACTCGATTTTATATCAGGCCTCCTTCTGCCAGTCTAGCTTATCTTACACTTTATTTTAGACGTGCACACTTCCAGACCGTCTAATAAAGGGCAGAATTTTTTGCATCTTGCTAAAACGTTTATTTTATCTGAATTCTATGGAAATAAATATGATTGTAATGGTCTGGTAATTGATGCCTGATTCTCTTTTCAAAAGCATCCTTTCTTTAAAAAAAAAAAAATCTTGGAATGTCAAAAGTGCTGCAATAAATTCTCAGTGGGTCAAAGGAGAGGCAGATATGTCGTGGGAACAGGAAAAGGCATCACTCTTATAGGGACATCAAGTGATTCCCAGGCCGCATAATGCAGAGTTAAATGAACTCAAACTGCTCAATGGTGTCGTTGCAATTAAATGTGGTCAGCTAGAAACCAGGAGAGAGTGAGTTGTAGAAAGCAATGGTGAACCACCTCTGAAATGGTTGGCCAAGAAAGTATCATAGATTTGTCCAGGTAATCCAGATTCAAAACACCACAACAAAAAATGGTTAGAATTGTGGTAAACTTGGTAATGCTGATTTGGGGTTGACTCAGTTGCTCCTAAGTTGTGGGTGGCAGAGGGAATGGCATTGAGGTAGAGGAGGAACAGTCACTATCAAAACAACTGTTAGCTAAAAGAGGACCAAATCCAGGGCAGAAGTAAATATTTCAGACAAGACCTCCCTAGTTTTATGAAGACAAAGGGAGAGAAGAGGAAAACATTCAGGCTTGTTAGATTGTTGCTAAGGTTTTACAACAAAAGTACTGATCTACATGACATTGGATTGCTAGCCTGATCTTTCTTGAAAGGGCTAAGATATGCCTGTTCTCATTGCCTAAAGCAACCTTGGCAAATTTAAGAGCCACAGATGGGGAATTCTGGGAGTTGAAGTCCACAAATCTTAAAATTGCCAAGATTGGACACCTCTGGCATAAAGAATTAAATAGTCAAGGTGTATGGAGATATTGGTATGGATGTCCACATCACATTTTCCATCCTCTGGGATATTACATCTGCACCCATCTCCCATGAAGGAAAACAACCTTATCATTCCCCTTAAAAGCATCACACACATACTCTCTTTATATATGCAGAGATTGACGTATTCACACATAACCATCATGCATTTCTTTTCTGCACACATCACTGGACACACCGCCAATCTGAGTGCAATCATTTATTGCTAAATCTACAGTCAATGGAAGCTCCAGAAAATTTTTCATGTTTGAAGAGAGTAGCAGAGGGATTTAAGCAAGATTGCAGATGCTGTTCAACTTATCCCAGGCTAGCATGGAGAAGCAGATAGTCTGTGTTGGAAGCGGTTTCACCTGATGAAAAGAGATAACAGCAAAATAAGCCAGGGACTATGGATCTATTTACATTATTTACATATCTATCATCATCTTCTTTCAATGAGCCCATAATCCCTTGGCAACTGAATGGAGCTAGCAGAGTGTTTTAATGGCCAGATGCCCTTCCTGTCACCAATGCAGAGGTTTGTTCAGCAGATATATTCTCAGTATGCCCAGAGAGAGAAATATCTGCCTCTACCTAGAATTGAACTCACAACCTCCTGATTGTGAGGCAAATGCTCCACCTCTAGGCCACCACAGCACTCCAATTATTTACATATCTATCCTACTAGCAAATAAAAGAGAAGGTCTGGCACTTACTTATTCATCCAAGCAATCACTTGCTGGTGTGGGAACTCCGATAATTGACTTATCCACTTGAAACAGCCAGCGACCTTGTTCATCAACATTGCTAGTCTTCTGAATATTGAGAATTGCATCCGTTCGGGAACCAGGGATGTTGTAGTAATTTTCTTTGTCCCCACTGTCAAAGCCAGCCTGGTGAAGAGGTAGAGAAGGGGAAAGAATGACCTCTTTTCTAATTAACGCCCCAACAAACTTTCTCATTGGATTGCCAACCGGCGTATCAACCATATAATGCAGCTTCTCAAAAGGGCGGATCTATTTTGAGATGGGTTAATGAGAACAATGAATTGTCAACCCTGAAGTTGGGTGAACGGTGACCATTTTTCTGTGGTAGCTGTTCTCTAGGGAGTTTTCTTCTCACAGCTTCAGGGCCAGGGTGGGTGGGTGAGGAGATGTAGAGAGAGTTGGGATGTTGCAGCCAAAATAAAATTATTTCCACCCCGGGAATCAAGGATGTTGGTGCAGGTATTTGAAAGGTGGAGACTGAGATCACCTAGCAACCGGACTGAGTGCTGATTCGACCATGTGACTGATGACTCTGGGAGGGAAGTGACAAAGTTTGACTTTTAATGGGGGGGGGGTAAAACTGGCGGGAACCTACAGCCCGTATTCAACCAAGAAATTGCCAATTTTATATGTTCCAATAAAATGTTCTTTGAAGAATATGCCTGCCTCAGAGTTCTTATTAAATGGGATGTATTACTTGGATGAGAATAAGAAGGAAGGACTCCCTGGAGAAGAGCCGTAATGCTGGGAAGGATTGAGGGCAATAGAAGAAGAAAGGGATGACAGAGAAGGAGGTGGCTGGATGGAGTCACAGAAGCAGTTGGCGTGAGCTGAAATGGATTCCAGAAGAGGGTAGAGGATAGGAAGGCCTGGAGGAATGTTTTCCATGGAGTCGCAATGGGTCGGACACAACTTCGCAACTAACAGCAACAAATTACTTGGAACCTTGACATCTATCATCGAAGGGAATTGTTCCATTCTACCCTGCTTTGGTTAGGCTTCTTCTGAGAGACTGTGTCCAATTCTGGACACTGTGCAGGTAGTCCTTGACATACAACAGTTTAGTGACCGAAGTTGTAACACTATTGAAACAAGAAACTTATAACCATTTTTGGCACTTCTGACCCTTGTAGCATACCCACGATCATGTGATTTACATTTGGATGCTTGACAATGGGTTCATGTTTATGACGGTTGCAGCATCCCGGGATCATGGGATCACTTTTGTGACGGTCTGATAAGCAATAATCGATGGGGAAACCAGATCCACTTAGCAACCATGTGTTACTAATTTAACCACTGCAGTGATTCACTTAACAAATGGGGCAAGAAAAGTGGTAAAATGGGACAAAACTCACTTAATACATTTCTCACTTAGCAACATAAATTCTGGGCTCCATCATGGTCGTAAGTCAAGGACTACTTGTAATCTAATAAGAACCTGTAATAAACTGAAGCAAGTTCAGAGAAGAGCTACCAAGATGATGAAGGAGACCAACCCCGTGTTTCTGGTTGCACCTTCAAGCTATCCCAAAGCTACCTGAGCGGGAGTTCCTCCAAGTCCTGTATAGATATCTCCATCATTTCCAGTTCCAGTGGTCCACTGTATATCAGCATAGTTCAGCATGATGAAGGATATTTCTCCATCTGTGGCCAAGACAGCTTGAAAAGTGTTGACCTGCAACAAAAAGGGAAAAAAATTGTATTTTAAGGCCTGGCTATCCCTGCTTAGCAAAGTTGTTTCTAAATCAGAGCTCTCCAACCTTGGCAACTTTAAGACTTGTGAACTTCAATTCCCAGAATTCAACTCCCAGGCTTAAAGACTTGTGGACGTCACCCAGCAAAGCTGACTGAGGAATTCTAGGAGCTGAAGTCCACAAGTTTTAAAGTTGCCAAGGTTGGAGACCCCTGTTCTAAAAGAAAGTCATCTTGGAGTTGAATTCAAGTCCTAGTGATTTACCTGAACATATATCCCTGCTGTTCTCTTGATCCCATTGCTACGCTATCCAACGTCCAGTCACGTCCATGTACTAAGCAGAGTTACTTACTTCGACAGATAATCCTTGACTTAACCGATGCTGGTTTAATGAGAGTTTGAAGTTATGGTGGCCTCAGAGAAAGTGATTTACAACCTGTCCTTGAGTTTATGACCATCGTACAGCCTCTTTGGTCATGCAATCACAATTTGGACACTTGGCAACCGGCTTGCATTTAAGGTGGTTGTAGCATCTTGTCATCATGTGATTGCAATTTGCCACCTTCCCAGCTGGCTTCCAACAAAGTCAATCTGGGAATCTGGATTCACTTAACAACCATGTAATTCACTTAATGACAGTGATAAAAAGGGTAGTAAATTGGATCTGGTTAAGCGATGAATCCCTTTATAGCTGGATCAACTTACAATAGAAAGTCTGCTTCCAATGGTGGTTGTAAGTCGAGACTTAACTCTGATAGATTTTCCACATCAGCAAAGTTGGCTATACATTTTTTTGCAGGATGATAGAGGTGC